ATCGGTATACATCGACCTTCTTGCAACCATCAGTGCGCTACGATGCGCTGGGTACTTATAGGGTTACAGCGTCTTTTTGAGACAAATGCAACCAAAATCATGTACTTGCCGCCACCATTTGTATCATTCCGACTGTGACTAAAATCCGCAATCGACCGAACAAGTTGTTATATTTTTGTAATTAGTTTTGTCTTTAAGTTTTTGATTTTGTTTTTCACAGATTTTTTGTAACTTGTAATTTTGTAACTCACAGATTTTGTAAAATGTGCTCATGCCTAAGTACTATAATTATAGTATCAATAACTGCATCGTGGAGTGTTTTCCGTTTCGGGTTTTCCATGTCTCAATTGTTGAGCATGCGCAGAGTAAACATGGCGGTTAAACAATTGTAAACAAAAGTTGATATGCTGTGAGAATTAACAGATTATATTGTGGATTAAGAGATACATTCTAGTTTAGAAGCAGGACAACTGTGAGCTAACGTTCATATGTCAAACAAGGCAAGTCAAAGATGGCAATAGAATAGTTTTATTTGAGATATACAGAGTTTTTCATCTATATCTGCAGAGGTGATAGGGTTTTTGTATGGAATGGGGTCATGCTGTATAGATAATCGGTCGCACAGCCTGGGAGGGCTAGCAAAACCTACTAAGTAATAATATTGCCTAGTCCGTATAGATAGTAATAATAGTCAGCACTATGCTTATTATAGTTCACACAATTCCTACACATAGACAGTAATATAGTAACATAAATAGTAATATAGTAACATAAATCTGCGTAGCAGTACTACTACTATTACTGGTGTTCATGGTGATTAGTGTATGTATGTTGTAATACTAATATAGCTAGCCACAAGTTAACTCTACTCTAGAATTATAACCCTGCATGCACAGGGCATAATTATCCACATGGGATAGACAGATAGATAGATCTCACGTTGATTAATGAACTATATCGTATGCATATTGCCATTTAATGACCCAGTGATAAAAATTTACACTCATCCACTCACTCTAGGCGAGTAAAATGTAATGTTAAATTTCATCGAAAAGCCACCTAGAATAAGAGGGTTTACTGTTTCTATAGTTATAATTCCATAACCAGGGAAATCACTACGGTTTTAGTTCTATGATCATCCTATTACAGTTCCCAAATTTTGATACATTTTTTACTTACTGCTAAAGTGAAAACTAATTCGTGCAATCTACGCATAGAACTCTCAGGAACATCTAGATGCACCTGCATGGATGGATAGTGGAGCGTAATTTTCGTGTTAATTTAGGAGAAAACTAATATCGATGGTGGTTTGTCCTATATAATATGAGCTTGGCTCCTAAAATATGAGCTGCACCCCGAAACTTTCATTATTTTCAAAGTTTCGGTCGCTGTATTGGCAGGAGTGTGTTGTCCAGGCAGAATTAAAGGTTCATTGCTGCAGGTCTGCAATACTAACTCGGTGATGGTGACAAGCCGATTTTGTTGGCAATGTTAAATTTGCGGTGTCATCTCTATACTTGATGTTTGAGGGATAGCACACGCCACACGGTGACATCATGGACAATAGTAAAACGAGATATATATGTGGCTTTAATTCAGAATTTCCTTTATTTATACATAATATATGTATATATCATTATATGCTTTAACAACAAAAATAGACAGAACTAGACAGTACATACCTCCGCGAGCGTGTAACATGTATGTGTATAACAGCTGGCTCGATGCTGGCTGCTGCTGACTGGATGCCCTAAGGCGAGCTGCTGCTGAATTGATCGCACCAACGCTACACACACACACGAACACACACACGAGACCGATTACATGACCTCTGTTGCGCGGAGGTAACGAACACACACACGAACACACACACGAGACCGATTACATGACCTCTGTTGCGCGGAGGTAATAATGCATTGTAGACACTCAGTAATATAGATTGCAAGCAGTGAGTAACAAATTTGTAAGATAAAGAGAGAGAAAGAAATATGAGAGGGAGAAAGGCCTAGAGAGGGTGCGAGAGCTAGCAAGAGAGAGATAGAGAGAGAGAGAGAGAGAGGTGAGGGGAGCGAACTGGACAGAGAGTAGAGAGAATGAGACATATGCGTAAAATAAGCAGTGTGCTACATGTATGCATGCATGGTCAACCACGCACTAACTACTGGCATACAGACTACCCTGATAACATCTATGTACAAAGTTATATAGGTACGCTAGAACTTAGAAGTTTATAAAACCACGACCACGCACGCATAATTACATTACAACATGTACATATATATATATATCGTATTCATCTGCCTCCTTCTCCTTCTCCTCCTCCTCCACCTACTTCTCCTCTTCCCTCCCCCACAAACTTCAGTCCTCTACATTCGCCCTCCACGATCACCTTTAATTTTTCCCTCACTCCCTATCTTTTCCTTCTGCCTCCTCCTCCTCTTCCTCTTCATCCTGCTACTCCACTTCCTTCACCTACTCCTTATCCCTTCCCCGACACTTTTACAGACTCAGTCGCCTGCACGAAATGGAATCGAGTAAGTGGCTATTATTTTTGTGAGTTTTTTATGCTGCACACGATGATGCGACAAAATCACAATGTTTATAGGCTAACATTACCCCAGTTACAAGCAAACATAATTGAGATAGTTAATGATTTTTTCTTTTAGGTGTGGAAATTCGAAATCTTATACATTGGTTTTTAGCTCATCTGACATAGTCAGATGCAGCTTGTAGAATCGCATGATCGTCCGTCCGTCCGTCCGTCCGTCCGTCCGTCCGTCCGTGCGAGCGTCCGTCCGTCTGTCAACAGTTGGGCACAAATCTTAACCGCTCGACGTACGGTCACGATATTCGGGACGTGGGGAGGTAATCCGAAAACGAGTTTGGATGTCGAAGCTGGGGGTCAAAGGTCAAAGGTCAAGAGG